TTCAGATCCTCTGCCCCCCTCTTTCTCTGCCCCTCCCCACTCGTTCTCACTCACTCTCTCTCTCTCTCTCTCAAAAACAAAACAGATGTAAAAATAAAATAAATAAAAGTTACAAAAAGATGGGTGCCATGTGCAGCAACCAGGCCAAGTGGAGGCGACTGGAATGAAAAGCAAACACTGAGGAGGCTTTGCGGTACCACGCCAGCGTCCTCCAGGCCACAGTGGGAGGCTGAGACGCACGTCCCCTGTTCTGGCGCATTCGGGTTGAGAACAGAACTTGCGACATCAGAGAATGGAAAGCATCCATCAGCACTCAGATTTCAACACATTTCCGGGATTGAAAACAGGCTGGAAGAGGCCATCTATGAAGCAGAGAAGGGAGACCCGTCGGGAATATTTGTGGAGGGGGCTGCAGGGGCGGGAGGGGGACAGCCCACCCAGGAGAAACCAGAAGGGAACTCGGCTCTGACGCTGCAGGGATAAGGGACGTGATAAGGGAGCTGTTCACATGGATGCACGGATCCTACAGCCAGGTGGAAAACACCAGAACACCAGGAGGGCCTCCCTTAACATTTTTGTCTGTCTGGAAATCGGAGCTGCGTTACAAGTGCCCGAGTCGAGTTCTGGCGTCAAGGGGTCCCCCGTGTGATGGGACCCTCCCTCGTGCTCATTTCATGCCAAATCTGAAGCCAGGAGGCTGTCTGGGTACACACAGCACACCCAGCTTTGCTGTCACTGCCTTCTTCAGTGTGAAGCGACGAAGACGGCCAGTGGTTAAGGGAAGTGTGCAAACGCAACACGAGGTCCGGATAAAGTACGGGAAAAAACGAGTTCAGAAGAAACAAGCGATCGTCTGGTACACAGATGAAAACAGAACCCCCGATATCAGACATTATTTCCGTAACAAAAACAGAGTGCCAAGGGGAAAACATCAACCACAGACCAGTCTTGGGAGATTAAATCTATGATCCCTGAAAGAAAACATTGCAAGTGCTGAAAGTCAAAATTGAGAAAATCTCTTAGCACACAGAGTAAAAGCACAAGAATACCTAAAACGAGACACAAAGGATGAACACAGGAGATCCGGCATCTGGTGGAGAGCAGGGCCAGGAGAGAGGAGAGAGAGTAAGTGGGAGAGAAGAAATGGCGCCCTGTGATAAAGGCAGAAAGAGACTTCCAATCAGTAAACCTGAGGGTTGAGCTAGTTGAATGAAAAATAGAGCCTCAAATTAAGGCACACCATGGAAAAATTGCAGAACCCCAGGACGAAGACGTGACTCACGAAGATTGTGGAGAAAACGCAACATGTCCTCTCCCCAGAAAGACCCGGGGCTCAGACCAACACTGGTTGCCCCATCAACAACACAGTGCGGACACCCTCAAGCTCCAAGGGAAAATGGTTTACAGCTCAGTGGTACATGTCCAGCAAAACTGCTGACCATGTGCAAACCCCTGGGGACTCTAATCTGGACTTCCCACACACCCACTACTAAGGAATGATTTGAGGACCAGCTCTAATAAAGTAAGAACATAAACCCAAAAGGAGGCAGACTCGTAGTGTAGAAATTAAGTGGAAACCATCAATCCAAAGCTAGGGGCTGTAGGTATGAGGCACAGAGCTTAGAAGATAGAGAATATGATTAACAGCGCCCAGTGGAATGAAAAAAAATAAAAAATGAAAGCAACCAGAAACTCCAGGTGAACAATAAAACCATATGGAACAAGCAAGCTGAATTGGGAGCTGAGAACGCCTTGATCCGCCGGGTGCGCTGGGAGCTCTACATGTTAGCGCTTCCAACAGGACTGGAATGACTTCTGTTTCACAGAGATACTGAGGCTGAGGGCTCTGAGCAGCTCGCACAAGGCTTGCTGCCTTGTCCCCCACAGCGTGTGAGTCAAAGGAATGATGCACACCCGAACCCGGGCCCCTAGAAGGTTTGCCCTCAGGCTCAGTGCTGCTCGTGCTCAGTGTGACGCTGTGAACTCTTAGGACAAGGCTGCATGGGTCCTCCCACCTGGTGCATCCCGGTGGCGTTGAGTCCTCTCCTCTGGGCAGCACCTAAGTGCGTTCACACCCACAGCTCAGCTCCTGGAAAGCTGTCCTCTGTCCTGAGCCAATAGAGTGTGAATGTCCCCTGAGACTAGAGGTAGGTCGGACTGTGTTGGAGCTGGGGGCAAATGGAAAAGTCAGAATTCGGGCCCTGCCTGCACTTAAAAGTTTATATTTTGTCCAGCATGGATTTTTTTTGCACAAATTTTTATTTTTAGAAATATTGCATGAAAATACTATTGACCTCGATGGCTCAAGTTTTTGTGCCCCCCCCCCCACTTTGAAATTTGCATGTGAAGCTAATGCCTGGCTCTCCTCACACTCCACCAGCCCTGTGCTACCTGGGTACCTGGGAGAACCAGGGACCAACGGGAGAGAACCAAACTTGTGAGGGGAAAGAGGAAGTCAAGGTGTGACGAGCAAAGCTGGGAAAAGAGGAACAGCCACGTAGCCCACCTTTCAGGGGTGATGGGGTACACCTCCCACCGCGGGGTGGGATGAGGGTGTGTTAAGACCTTTTCTGTTGGACTTTTAAACTAATAAAGTATTACAAAGCGTTGACCAGAGAATTTAATAATAATAATAATAACAATAATAATAATAATAATAAATAACGTAAACGAATCCTGAACTTGAAGATGGAGAGAAGGTCAAAATCCAGGGTCAGGCAGGTTTCGAAGGACAGACACATGGAGCTGTGTGGCAACGGATGAAGGGTTAGAGAAGAACTCACAGCCGCGGGACTGTGTGTGTACAAAGGAATCTGACCTGCCGTGGCTGCCGTGGCTGCCGTGCTGGAAAGTGGCCGTGAGAAGCCCCTGCGTGAATTCACTGGGATGCAAGTGTTCCTGGGGCATGGCCCAAGAAAGTACTGTAGACGAGCCAGAGATAAGTTAGAATAAATATCTCAAGACAGGAGCAAATACAGGGCACAGGAAACTGGATCCAGGGCAAGGTGTAGTTACATAGTTACATTTAAATCAAGGTCTCAGCCCACGGCTGGCTGTAACCTCCTGGGAAGGACTTCTCTGTTGAAGGAGAAATACTGATTTAAATACAACTGTTACACGTATCACCGCTAGCAAAGTAGTGAGACTCCCGGAGACAGGGAATTGAAATACCCTGAACATTTTGGCTAAAGCAAGAAACAGGGGAGGAGCTTCGAGATGGGACAAGAAACAGTGGGCCCAGCACCACCACCATCATTATTCTGGCTTGAATGATCACGTGTAAAGACAGCGTGTTCAGACGAGGCTGAGAAATCAAATACAGTTACACGTTCTGAGGACCCAACTCCGAAACAAAACAGATAAGAAAAAAAAAAGTTAAACATAAACAGAAAAATCGGGGGCAGGCAAAAAATAAGAGCAGGGAACGGGTTCCGGGAGAGATCCCGGGAAAAGGGACCCCGTGGAGAGGGCGGCCCGCCGGTGTAAGCAGACCAGAGCCCCGCCCACGGAAGCGTCCAGGCCCCGAGGAGACAGGTTGGGAGGCTGGAGGTGAGTGGACACAAGTGGCTGTGCAGAAGACGGCCAAGGGCAAGCAGGTGTGTGCCAGCCACCTCCCCGGAGACTCCTGGTTCCAGCTGGCCCCGGGGCTTCGTCACCCTCCCCAGCGCCTCTCCCCAGCGCCCGCGGTCTGCTTAGAGCCTGTGGCCGGAGTGGGGGGTGGGTGAGGGTCACCCTGGTGGGATGGGGATCCTGGCGGAGAAAGTCTCGCATGGGGTCTGGGGCCAGTGGCACAGAGGATGTCCCTGTGTCCCTGCTCCTCCTCTCAAGGGGTGCGGAGGAGCTGGAGCAGACCAGGGCTGCTACCCTCAGCACCGTGCGCCCCGCAGCCTTTCGTGCTGCCCTTTCAACAGAATACACAGGCTAGGCCCAGGCACGGACACTCAGCTAATGGGCAGAGCCGGGGCTGGGACGTGACCTCCCTCCTCAGGCTGGTGGAAGGATCCATCCTTGAGGGGGGGGGCACAGGGGGGGCTCCGCAGGGCAGGTCTGCATGAGGCTCCAGCACCGTCCAGGTGCAGAGGCATCAGGGAGCCTGCTGAGGGGATGGGGTCCAAGGACCCCCACCCCCAGTCTTGCCCACCTGCCCTCCTGAGCCTCCCCCACCTCTCAGCAGCCTTCCTGGCCTGGCTCTCTCCCAGCCCGGGTGCCCACTGGAACCCTGGACGCTGGCCCAGCCCTGGGACCAGGATCCATGGGTTCCAGCAAAGACTTCAGGAGCCTTGAGTGCCCAGGAAGCCTGGAGAGCCACCTCCGTGCTAAGGAAACGCTGACCCTCCAGATTTCTGACCCGCTGAGTCCAGCCTGCTCGGCCAGAAGCCTGCAGCCAGAGTGTGGGTGGCTGGACGGCCAGACGATGGCAGGGCCAGGAGCCAGGGCCCGACCCCCAGCAGTGGGTGGTATGAGGGGAGCATCCTGGGGGGCTGCATTCCGTCTTCCATGATGATGTAAGACTGTTTTTACAGGCAAACATTACAAGAGGCAAATCTGAATGATGTTTCAGTTCTTGTTTGCAGATCTTAGACAGGCCGCCAGGTCCTGAGTTTGCAGAGGGAATAAGACAGTACCACTAATGCAGGCTGAGACCTTACCCAGGGTCGCCCCTCCCAGGCCTGCCCTTTCACCCTGGCTCTGCTCCCCTGGGGTCAGCAGCCTCCTACTATGCCTGTGCCTGGCCCAGACAGCAACGCCCGGCCCACAGGGTCCAGGACCTCCCATCCTCCACCCCCCTCCCGAGGGAGTGCTGGTTACTGATTGAACACTGGAATGAATCTTAAATGGGACATCTCCCGGCAATAATCACCAGGACCAAAGGCCTCTGTTCTCTCTTCTGGCTCACAGACCAGCTCCTTCTAGCCTCGGCTGGACCCCACACACAAGCCGGCCAGGCGAGGCCAGACGTGCCAGAGCAGTGCTCGAAGCAGGCCCCTGGACGCTGTGTCATGTGGACCAGCTGGTGGCTCTGGGCCCTGGTGGCCGTCTGCACTGGAGACCAGTTCCGGGATGAGGCTGAGAGAATCATGCGGGGCACACCTGTCATTGACGGGTAAGTGGCCACTGGGGACGGGACGGGGGGTCCGGGGCCGGAGGGGCTAGGAGCTCATGTGACCCTGACACTGACATTGCCTAATCTCTGCTGGGGCTCAGTTTCTTCAACCACAACATGGCTTTTGCCTTTGCTGGCCTCAGCTTATTCGTGGGGTCTCTTAGGGCCCCCCTAAAGCCTCAGCAGATGATGGTCTGTAGGGAATGGAGCAGTTAAAAGGCCCCTGTGGCCCTCAGCAGCTCCTGGGGTGCCCTACGAGCTGACTCCCTGCACCCTGGGTGCCAGCTCCCAGCTCAGAGTGGGTGCTGGGGATAGAGGAGGTTGGGGCCTGGCCCAGGGCACGCCTCAAACTAGCCATGTAGCCCAAGGAGCCATATTCCCTCCCTGGGCCTTAGTTTCCCCTGGGAGGCCCCTCCTTAACCCTCCTCCAAGACCTTTCTCATTCCTCTCCCTCTCCTGCATCCGCCTTGGGGAGACCTCCTCAGGCACAGGGTCCCCGGGTCGCCTTTGTGCTGTGTTCCCAGCTTGACCTTACTTGCATGTCCGCTGACCCACCCACCCCCACAGAGGGAGACCCCTTTCTAGCCAAGACCCTGGTGACACCTTGTGGTTTTGTGTCTGATGCACAGCCAAGCTGGCAGGGCCTGTCTCCTCCAATGCCCGGTGCGTCCGCCCTCCTCCCTCGCCCCCATCTCCACCTCTGCTGGGTCATCCGGTGAGCCTCTGGCTGTCCTTCCTTCCACCAGCGGAGGTCTGGTCTCAGGGCTGCAGCCAGAGGGAGTCTGGGAGACAGAAGTACCAGCTCCCGTCCCCTGGCTCAAACTCCCCACCTGTCACGGCTCCCACTGAGCTCAGAGTATCGTCTAAGTCCTGCAATGGACCCCAAGACCCTGCACTGCCTTCCCCAGCCATCCCCACACTCCCGGGTGCCCCAGGCAGGCTCGTGCTGTCCCTGCCGGTCCCCATGTCCACGCTGCCTCCCTCAGCTCCTCCCGGGCTTTGCTCTGGGCTACCTCTCCTGGCCCCCGTGTGAAACGCCACCTGGGCACACACACCCCTGCCCCTCCCGCTTCCTTTCCTGTCCCATTTCCAACATACCAGCAGGGAGCGAGGACCCCGTTCCCTGGGCACTCAGTCTGAAGGGCCGTGTGGCACACACACACACACCCTTGGGCGCTGGAAGTGTTAGGGGAGCACCTGTTTGTGCCTGTCTGGCACCCAGTAAGTGCGTGATAAATGTTGCGGTCGTGACTATCTGGCAGACGCCTCTGGGCTTTGTTGGACAAAATAGTCTGCAAGAAAAGCAGAGAAAAATGGGGTGTGTCCTTATACAGGAAGCCCAGGGAGCTGTGGCAGCCCTAGAGAAGGGAGGGGCCGCCAGCCCTTCCCCATCTGCCCCTGGTTCCTCCCCCGTACCTCCTTCCTGGCCCTGGGGTCCCCTCATACACACTCAAGGGGAGTGAGGCCAAAGAGAGGTCTGCTGAGAGGCTGCTGCCCTGGGCTCCCACCCCAGTGGAGCCCCTGCTGTCTGGTAGACGATGCCAACAGTTTGAGCCCGGGAAGGTGCTCCTTCATTCTGAGGACCCACTGGGGTGGGGGGGCAGCTGGGCACAGAGAGCGGGGTGCAAGGTCAGGTGCTGGGGGTTGGGAGGACCGCAGGAGGGGTAAGTGGCTCCAAGAGCCTAGACAGCCCGGAATTCTCAGGGAGCTGGAATTTGGGAATCGGGATTGTCCCAAGAGCCAGACAGTGAAGAGCAGGTGACAGGACCCAAACCGACCCTGTGATATTAGCTCCTCTTGCAGGTAAGAGACTCAGGTAAGTGGTTTCAACAAGAGAAAGAGCCCCAGGGAGTCCTGGCTGTTCCACAGTGTGACACAGCGGCCATCATTCCCACCTCAGGCTTCAAAGTGGCCGCTGCAGCCCCAGCCTTTACGTCTGCATGCCAGCCAGCATGAAGGAGGAAGGGACATAGAAAGGGCAAAGGGTGAGCGAGTCAAGGAGAGCTTTTGGGAGCTGTCAAAGGGCAGAACTTAGTCACATGGCCACACCCTGCAGTAAAGGGACACGAAGTCGCTTTATTTCAAATGGCCAGGTTTCCTGCTAAAAACAGGCGGTTCTGTTACCAAGAAAAAGACGGAGAGTGGGTAGCGGGCCTCCAGCAGTCGCTCCTACAATAGCTGGCTGTCGTTCAAGTGCTTGGAATGGTCACCTCCCCCCTTGGAGTAGGAGCAGGGTCCTCTGACCACTGGGGGTGCTGCCCAGGCCACACAGATAAGGAGGGTGGATCCAGGCTCCAGAAGGGCATTGTTGGCCGCAGGGCAAATGTGACCTCTGTTCCCCACTCCGGGCTCCGGCGAAGGCAGGAGGGGAGGAGGTTGGAGCAAAGTGCCCCTCCCTCCTGGTGGGTTCCTGGCTGCCGGCTGGAGGGTGGGGCAGCCGGGAGGAACGTCCCCTCCAGGGACCCTGCCCAGTGCTGCCCAGAGGCACGGACACTCTGGGCTCACCTACACGTGCCCCCGCTCGGTCAGCAAGGGTGTTCTGACCACCAGCCCACACCCGACCACGTCAAAACACAGCTGTGGCGGTGGCCCTCGAGAGAGCTGGGGGGCTTCCAGAGTCTGGAGCCAGCTTGCTTTGGAAAGGCTCACCCCAGGACGGCTGGCCGAGGAGGTCCAGGCGCTCACAGTTTAGTCTCTGAGCCAAGTACCAAAGCGTCCCCATGTTACAGGTGGAAAAACTGAGGCCAGAGAGGCAGGAGCCAGGATTGGGGATGGGAACTGGATGGGGGTTGAGGACAGAGCTGGGGGAGGGGTCTCGAAAGCAGAAGCGGCCCCTCAAACAGAGCAGTGGCCCCTGGGATGGGGCTGGGAGCGGGAGTGGGGCGGGAGGGGAGGGTGGGTGAGGCACCAGGCCCCTCGCCCTCGCCGGTGCATCAGGGATCCCGCAGGGGCTCTCCACGGGTGTCCCGTATTCCAGGCTTGGCTGATCCAAGTGCAGATTCCACCTCGCAGGTCTGAGACTTTGCATTTCCCCGGCCCCTGCTTCTTCCATGTGTGAACTTAGGGGGTGCTGGCAGCCCAGAGGTCTCTCCCCCTCGAGGCTGCTCCTGGGTCCAGGGCTGAATCTGCCCAGCCCTGTGGGTTCTTGCCTTTGCAGCCCAGACCGGCCCCTGCCATTCGCCTCCTCCTTCCCTCCCCTCCCCTCCTTCTCTCCCTCCATAGGGGCATAGAAGGATGGGCAGAGCTGTCACAGAGGCCCCGGTGCCCCAGAGGATGGGGTGTGTGTTGGGGTGGGGGGGGGGTGCCAGACAGGCCACACCCCCATTTCCCTGCCCCCTCCCTGCAAGGGGAGGATTTCAAGAGTCCCCCGCCCAGCTGCCCGTGTCAACCAGCACTATTCATGGAGGTGGTTTGAACCCTGCCCGTTCCCCAGGACGATTCTGGAGACAAACATCTGCCCTTGCCTCTTGGGCAGCGGAAGGCCCTTGGAGGGAACACCTCCCAGAGGCTCTCTCCGCTCACAGTCACCCGGCCTGGGTGTGGGGCACAGTCGAGCAACTCACCTGCGCGTAGGCGTGCTCGGATCACGAGCAATCCGCCAGCCCTGTGGCCGGCTCTAATTCCCAGCCTGTGAGGGAGTTCGGAGGCCCCCGGCCTGAGTGGCCACCCTGACTCGGCCCTGGCCCTTTCTCCCGCCCCCACCCCCACCCCCAGGCACAATGACCTGCCCTGGAGGCTGCTGACCATGTTCAACAACCAGCTTCAGAGCGAGAGGGCCAACCTGACGAGCCTTGCCAACACACACACCAACATCCCCAAGCTGAGGGCTGGTTTTGTTGGGGGCCAGGTATGGCTCGGCCCGGCCCCACGCTCGCTCACGCTGGCGTCCACCCATCTCCCTCCCCACCGCGTCCTGGCCAGGGTGCAGGCGTGCCCGGGGCGGTGTCCCTCCTGAGCCCTTGGGACCACAAGTCTTTGGAAGGGGACGCTGGTGGCCACCAAGGCCGTCCCAGGACTCCCGGGGCAGGAGGGAAGCGTGTGTGGCGTGGGGCCGGGGGCCAGCGGTCCTAGCTGCCCTCCCCCGCGGCCCCTAGTTCTGGTCTGCGTACACGCCCTGCGACACCCAGAACAAGGATGCCGTGAAGAGGACCCTAGAGCAGATCGACGTCATCCAGCGCATGTGCCAGACGTATCCGGACACCTTTGTGTGTGTCACCAACAGCGCAGGTGGGTCCCGGTCCGGCCCGCCTTCCTGAGCTCCTGCCGCTGCCCGCCCCAGCCCCGGGCAGGGTGGCTAGGGCCGCCCGGGTGTGCCTTACGTCGAAACTCCCCGGACGCCCAGGTGCCCGACGCCCTCAGCCAGCTCTCCTCACAGGCATCCGGCAGGCCTTCCGGGAGGGGAGGGTGGCCAGCCTTGTCGGTGTGGAGGGTGGCCACTCCATAGACAGCAGCCTGGGCGTCCTGCGGACACTCTACCGCCTGGGCATGCGGTACCTGACCCTCACCCACAGCTGCAACACGCCGTGGTAGGTGACCCCGGGGAGGCCGCCAGGCCGCGCGGGAGGGGGTGGGGGCGGGCCGCGGGGCAGGGCCGATCCCTAGCCCTGCTCTCCTCCGGCTCCTTCCTCCCCGTCCGAGCGCCCTGGGTCCGGGTGGGCCACGACCACCACTCCATCCCTGGCACACCTGGTCTCCGCTCTCCCAGGGCTGACAACTGGCTGGTGGACACGGGAGAGGACAAGGCTGAGAGCCAAGGCCTGTCACGCTTTGGCCAGGTAAGGCGGTGGGCGGGGGGGGGGGGGGGGGGG